CCCACTACTTGTCCATCTGGTGAATCTAGTCAGCCTATCTAGAGGTCTTTGTTTTAGGAAGGTCAGCTGTTCCTCATCTAGCGGTAATCAGTTGTCTATATTCCTTTGGATAAGATTGGCATCTGCTGTTCATTTTCCCAGTTCTATGCTGGGTTACTATCTGGGAATCCCTTTGGCCACTCTGGCCATCAACTCAATAGAAGGTATCGCTTGTCTGGTATTGTTGCTTGTTATGTAGCTATACATATGGACTCTTATGAAATTATGTTGGCCCATTTAATCTTTGGTTATACTTTCCTTTTGTGTATTTAAGGCCATACAGTTGCTCCAGATAAAACCGGTTTGTTTTTACTCTTAAGGTCGTTTGAGGATCTGTTCCTCAAGGGTCACATGGGCTTGGGAGGGGCCTCTGGCTCCTTTCTTTTTCTTCACCTACGTGAAGGTAAGTCAAAGGTCCTGCTCGACCGTGGTTGGCTTTGCTTGGAAGCATGGAGGAAATGATTCCTCTGTGTTGACCCTCCTCTTTGTAGACTGGACACTGGTTCAAGTCCATCTGGTGGGGTCTCCTTGGCCTCCTTGATCAAGAGGACAGGTGACCCACCACAATTACAGGACATTTTGAGAGATGCTCATAGTCCCCTGGAACTAGTCGACCTAGGAGGCAAGGAGCAAAAACTGTCCTTTATGTACCTCTGACCAAATTATTATATGACCAAAGTATGTCTGTTAAACATCCAAGAAGGTTAGTTCCACCAGTCTGGTACTTTTAATTACTGTGTGTCATATAGTTAAATCTTGGGCAAAGACCAATTGTTCTCAGATAAACCTTACCTAGACATATATTTCTTGATCTGCTATGTATAATTTGTCAGTAGGTTGTAGGAGTAATATGGTTCCCTCTGGTTTTTAAAACTAGCTAGGCATTATTTATCTTTCGCACTGTCTCACCCCCCATCATGGTTTTCCCACTTGAGGTGCCCCTAAATCATAAATATTCAAGTATTACATTAAAAGATAAGAAGCATTCCTTACCACGTGTTCTAATTCTTCAAAAGTTTTGCAGTTCAACAAGGCTTTTAACAAGCATTCAGACATCTTCCCCTCCTTCTTAATTTTCTGGATTGCACTATGAACCTTCTTCGCAAGAGCCCTGAAAAGAAAAGCTTGTATAATATATACGACCTTAGATGCCAAAACTTTGTTTTTGAGGTATCTCACATTATAGAAAAGTTGCAGCTAATGTAAAAAGAATCATTTTTCCCTCCGATTCATTTGACAATGGCCTCACCCCCAAATACCTTAGTATCTCTTTCCTATAAATAACATTCTACAAAACCACAACAAAACCAGTATCAGGTGAGTAATACCATATGGGACCATCATCTCATTCTCTGATCTGAGGCCTGTTTTGAGCTTCATCCACACAGCTGGTAATGTCCTCTGAATGAATTCTGAATTCACTCCAGAATTAAACACAGTACTAGTTGTCAGGTGTCTAGTCTCTATGTTAAAACAATGTTTCAGGTTTTCCTGGATTTTCAGTTACTTTATAGGTATCTTCAAGTTCTGGTTCCTCTGGTGTTTCCTTACAGAAAATTCCTGTGGTATTTCTTACAAGAATATGACAGAAGTGATGCAGTGTTCTTTTTACTGCGTCTTATAAGCTGACAAATGATTTTGATGTGTCCCATTGGTAATGGACTTTTATTGTAATTTTGGTGCTCTTTTGCCCTGATACTGGTACTCTTTTTTTCCCCTTTGCAATTTTTAAGTGTTTTGTGAAGAAGTACTTTGAGACTATCCTATTCCTCATTAAGCTTAAGATTTATTCACTGATTTCTTTGCATCACTATAGACTTGTGGTTTCTTTTTTTTATTTAATGGTTAAAACCCATGATTGTGATGTATTTTAATGTTTGTCTCTGACTTGGCCAGAAGTAGCCCTCCTTCAAGCTAGCTGGGTACTTCCTTATTCTCTGCCACAGGTATCACAGATATCATCCTTTACCTTCCCAGCTCAACCCCTCAAATCCGAAGAATGGTACTTAAAAAGCAGTTATGCAAACTAGGTATGCTCATTGCTGTGGAGCATCACTGCTCAGGATGATTGAAAGCTGATTCTAGGAATCAATATACAAATAGGAGCCAGAGGAGGGGCAGGCACAGAAGGTCTCCTAATTTTCAATGACTGGCAACCATCCATAACTCTAGTTCTAGGAGGTCTGACGCTCTCTTCTGACCTCCACAGGCATTGCATGACATGGGTAGGCTTACATACATGCAGGCAATACGCTCATACACATAAAACAAAAGTAATAAAGAAAATATCTTAAAATAAGATCTTTAAGATGTCTCATTACCAAAAAGAAACATCTATAGTCTAGAAAAAGAACAAAGCCCTAGTCTGCCCCAACTCATGTCAAGGAATACTCCTGTACTAATAATATTCACCATGGTTTTCTATGATAGAAACCTCAAGAGCGGCACACTTTTACAGTAGAAGTGGGTTTTTTTCTTAAAATATTTTATTTTTATGTGTATGGTTGTATTGCCTATACTTTTACAGTAGAAATGGGTTTTTTTTTAATATTTTATTTAAGTGTATGATTGTATTGCCTGCATTTAAAAAAATATTTTGTTAGTTTTATTTTATGTGTATGATTGTATTGCCTCCACCCATGTCATGTGATGCCTGTGGAGGTGAGAAGAGGGCGTTTGATCTCCTGCTGCCATGTGGGTGCTGGGAATTGAACTCGGGTCCTCTGCAAGAACAGCCAGGGCTCTTAACCACAGAGGCATCTCTCCATCCAAGTAGTTTTTTTTTAATAGAAAAAAAAATCAATAATACAATCTTGATATAAGGTTTTTACTTGTCCCCTGAATAATAAAATATTGTCAGGATCCTTTTAATTTTTCAAGCAAATTTTTGTTATATTTTCACTAATTTCAGGTTCCTAAACCCTCAGGCATTTTTACTTTGCTTTCTACCAAATGGAAGCTTGCTTCAGAATTTACAAACTGCTGGCCTTCCAGATGTGCCTTGATGGTTTGGTTTAGTCCAGAAAATTTTTTATATAAAATCCTAGATTCCCAGTTTCTTTTCAGAAAACTCAACAGACAGCACTGCCTATCAGTAATCTGCAGAAACTGAGTCAAGGCTTCCCTCTTAGAAAAGACTTGTAACTTCCAGTTTTTCTAACCTGGCCAAAAAAAATCTGCATCTTGGACCATCTGATTATCATTTATGCTTCTGGAGTGTCTGATTTTGCCTCTCATGGAAATACAGCGTACCACATACTAGTATTTACTTAATGACTGAAACTAAAAGAACATGAACAAAAGAAGTAGAAAAGTCAGTAAGATAAAAATTCTCCAAACATCAAAGAAAGCTTATCAGGATGGAGGTACTCAGTACTTTCAGAAGTTTGATGGCAGGATTACATTCAATTTTGATCAGATCTTTGCTCTACACTCGAAAAAAATGTACATTAACAAGTGTCTGTAGAAAACATGCAAAAACAATGCATGGAGAACCAGTTTTATTGTTGTTTTAACATTTATTTATTTATTTATTGGTGTGAATTTGTTCATGTGTGTACACACACACGTGGCACCCAAGTATAGAGGTCAAAGTGTTGGGAGCTATTGATATAAGCACAGCCATTATGTACATTGAGCTGTGGCAGGCTTGCTTGTTTACTTAGAGTTTGTGTTTTGCACACAGGTACCTAATTTTCCAAGTCAGGAGGAATGTGTTTATAATTTAGGGAAGATGGTTAAATGGTGGAATTCACAACAAGTATTTGACCATTCCTTGACCCTGAGATACAGGTGGGAAAAACAGCTGTTGAAGCTAATTGAGCTAAGCAAACAGTGGCTATCTCTGATGTTCTGTATAAAAAGGCAGAGCTAAAATAAACCGGGGCTGCAGTCTCTACTGACAGTCCTCCCAAGTATCTTTTCTGTCTCTTGTTTTTCCTTTCAATCCTCACGCCCCCTTTCAGGTACTGTCCATCTTGGCCAGCTGGTACCAGCATCAAAGGACAGCTTCTGGGAGCTTCTGGGTCCCTGGGGGATCAATCTCAGGTCACCAGACTTGATGGCAAGAGGCTTTACCTACTGAGCCATCTTAATGGCCCCACATGTTTTTCATTTACCCTTCCATATAACACCATCAGTCTTATGGTCTCTGAACACTTATTTCTGAGCTGTTGTGACATGTGTAACGGCATCCTTTTTTTTTTTTAACTTTTAAAAAAAATTTTATTTATTTTTATTTTATGTGTATGCGTGTATTGCCTGCATGTAGGTTAAGTGCACCTGTGTTGTACAATGCCTGCGGAGGTCAGAAGAGGCTGTCGGATCCCCTGAGACTGGAATTACGGACAGCTGTTAGCTGCCATGTGGGTGCTAGGATTCGAACCCAGGTCTTCTGCAAGAACAACCAGTGTTCTTAACCGCTGAGTCATCTCTCCAGCCCCTAAAGGCATACTTTTTAAAAAGAATAGGCACTCTCTACTCTATAGTGTTATAAAACTTACAATCCTCTAAGATGAAATTACCATTGCCTTTAAAAGATTAGCAAAAGTATGAATTTCCTACCAAACTCCGTAGTGATGTTTATTATCTTATGATGATACTATATCCTGATAAACCTATCATATATTGAAAACATCATAAATCAGACAAGCATTCAACACACCTACCCTAACAAACACCATGTCTAACCTACCTTAAACATGCTTGGACTACTTTGCTTAGTTAGACAAAAATCATCTAATCATTACAAAGTCTATTTTATGTTAAAAGTGAATAGATCATATAATTTACTGAACTAACCTGTGATGGATAGTTTTGATTGTCAACGTTAACATAATGTAGAGTCACCTGAGGAAGGAGTCTCAAAAAGGAATTCTCTGGGTTGGCCTGTGGACATGTGTGTGAGGGATTTTCTTTTTGTTTTTTAAAACAAGGTCTTACTATTTAGCCCTAGCTGGCCTAGAACTCACTATATAGACCAGGTTGGCCTATAACTTACAGAGATCCACCTGCCTCTGCCTGTACCTCTCAAATACTGGGGTGGCTGAAGTAAGAAGACCTGAGAATGGGTGTTATACCATTTCATGTGCTGCCCTGAGGTAAATGAAAAGGAGGGAAGGAGCTGGGTACTAGCATGCATACATGGATGAATTCACTGCACTCCACTTCAAGTTCCTGCCACCTTGTTTTTCCCTAAATGATGGGCTGTAACCTGGAATTTTGAGTCAAATAAGCCTTTCGTCTTTAAGTTCCTTTTGTCAGGATAATTTACCACAGCAACAGAAAAAGAAACTAAGACAGCACTATACCTAAAAATCACTGCAATATGGTACCATGTAGAATATCAGTTGTTTAGCTTTGAGATCACATGGCTGACAGGGGCACTGTGAGAAAGTATATGATAGCATATTGCTATGCCAGGATAAAAAATAAAATTCAACATACTCAAAGTACGGTTTCTAATGAATGTTTATGGTTTTGACTATCACGAAGTTGCAAAATTGTTAAGTCAAACTACTATAGGTCAGAGACCATCTGTACTGCCAAAGAAATCTCTATTTCAGGATGATATATAGTAAGGGGACAGTTTTATGCAAGCTGTTAAAGATTTAGACTAACATGTACTTTTTTAACTTTCCTTCTGGAAGTCCTAATTTTGTCATTGTGCCCAATCATTTCTACAATAATCAAATCCTGCTGGTACAGGCCCAAGCTATGTATGCACACAGCAGCAGGGATTCCATCCACCCTGAACTAAGCAATACAGTCCTGACTTTCTCTAGAAGAGAATTGTGTTCAGATAAGAATAACTCAAATTGGAACTACAAAATATAGTCCTTCACTTCCCTCATTGGCCCACACAGCCTCCATCCCCTACATTAGACCCACCCCTCCCTCAGGTTTCTTACCGTAGCTCCTCTAGAGTCTGGCGAACTTCTCTCAAGGAATCAGCATCAAGATTATTAATGAGCTCTTTTCGATAGCGTATAATGAAGGGAATTGTGTTATCATCATTAAAGAGGCGAATGATATTGGCACAAACCCAAAATTCAATATTAGTTCTCTCAGATAAAACCTGCAAGGGAAGATTTAAAAAATTAAAATACAAAGGTCTGTAATGCCAACACCTGAGAGGCTTTAGGCAGGAAGATTGCCACAAGTTTGAGGCCACAACTCCAACAGCAATGTTCAAATCAAGCATTCTATTTCTAACCTGGCGTGGTGGCACATGCCTTTAATCCCAGAACTCCGAAGGCAGAGGCAGGCAGATCGCTGTGAGATCAAGGTCAGCCTGGTCTACATAGTGAGGACAACTGGGGCCATAAGTAGATTCTGTCTCAGAAAGACAAAATAATAATAATAATAATAATAATAATAATAATAATAATAATTCTAACTAATTGACAAAAGGAAGTCAAGATACATAGAATTATATTTCAAAACTACAGAGGTAGTACCTCGTTTTCTTAAACCCTGATCCTAAATTTTACCAAGCATTCTAATGAAGTAATACCAAATCTCTGGTAAGGACATCAAATTCACATGTCCAGCCCTGAGTCTTCTCCACATAAGCATCAGATCCATTTTGCCAATTATTTAAGATATTCTCTCAGAAATCTAATAGGCATCTCAACCCTGCGTTTCTAAAGTGATCTTCATCCCAAACTTATTCATCTTCCAATTTTTCCCATATGCTATCTATTCAAATAGTCATTCAAGCTAGAAAAATCATCCCTCTCCAGCTCATAAATTCAATTCATAGACTAGTCAACTCCAATCACAAAATTTCTTTAGTCTCTTCTTCAACCCCAAGCTAGTTCTAGCCTATTCAGTAGTATATACTGAAACAGACTTTAACTGTTCTCCTTGTAGTCACTTTAACTTCATCTACTCCTACTTCCATAAAGCACTATGAATATTCTTTTCAAAATGTATAATGGACCATGTCACTTGACTGGTCAAAACCATCACTGACTTCCCACTGCATTTAGACTCCAAACTCCTTACAGTTAGGTAGCTAAACAATGATTAGTAGCCTTGGGAACCACTGAGGATGAACCTCTCCCTCCTGATTAGCTTTGGATCCTGCCGCAAGCCACGACTCCGTCCAGCAGAGCCGAGGAAAGACGACACAGACACCAAGGTGAGGTTCAGGCTTCTCCTTCTCACTCTCTCACTCTCCCTCTTTATTACACACTTCAGCTCTTCATATAGCATTCCCAACAGCCCTTCCCCCAGCCAGGACCAATCAGGGCACACACACATGTAGCGGGCAGGCAGAGTGGCAGCTTATTGGGCCACATAGCAGGATCATGCTCGATGATGTCTCTGATCAAGCAGGCAGCACATGATCGGGCTTATTGTGCTTGCACAGGTTGGAGTAAACAAGTGAGGGGCACGAGGCTTGGAAGCCAGCCAGGGCACCATCTTGGCCGGCTCGACTGTGCCTGCTTCCCACACTGGGGTATAGTTGTTTCAGGATCATACTCGATGATGTCTCTGATCAAGCAGGCAGCACATGATCGGGCTTATTGTGCTTACGCAGGTTGGAGTAAACAAGTGAGGGGCACGAGGCTTGGCAGCCAGCCAGGGCGCCATCTTGGCCGGCCCGACCGCACCTGCTTCCCACAGGATCCCACTACCTATTTCCCTGATAATCACAACTGCCCTCTCTTAGGCCTCTCCATCAAAAGAATGGAATATTTCTAGCCCTGGGTAGAGATATGACATTCTGATCTGCTTCAAAGATTAGAACATTACATACTATTGTCTCAGCCCTCAAAAGTTAATCCAGCTGGGTCTTTCAATCACCTAGCAGGAATCCACCAAATACCAACCCCAACTTCCCAGGAAAACTGATTCAACAGAAGACATGCTAAGGCCATGGGAAGATTATCCCCTTAATGACAGAATGCACTTAAAATTTCCCAAAGCCCCTACCCTGATGTAGTTTATAGATCTTCATCACTAAGCCAGCCCTGAATTTTTTATTTTTTAAATTCTATTATTTTTTATCATTTTGTTTTATGTGTATGAGAGTTTTGCCTGCGTGTACATGAGTGCACCCATGTCATGCAATGCCTTCAGAGGCCAAAAGAGGGTGTCGATCGCCTGGAACTGGAGTTATGGCCAGTTGTTAACCACCATGTGGGTGCTAGAATCCAAACCACAGCCCTCTGCAAGAGCAGTCGGTGCTCTTAATTGCTGAGCCATCTCTCCATTCAGCCCCATTTCTGTTTTGCTTTAAATCATAATTTTTCCTTCTCTTTCTTCCTATGTCTTTTTCCAAAAGCCTAAGCATGCTTTCCCTGACACTCTGGTCTTTTTACTTATTCTCTGAAGTTCCCCTGATCCTTTGGCTATGGAGTGGTTTATCAACCTTCATTGTTGAACATGCTGGCTTTCCTGGACCTTAACTCAAAAGGCATGGCTTTCTCTCTCCCTTCTCTCCAATTCTCTCCACTCAGCAGCAACTGAGATTTACAGCTTGCCTGCCCTGTTTTGTTTTCTTTCAAACTGTAATACATGGTCCTCAAGCTTCCTTCTGAGTTTGCTTTTAAATTCTTTTTTAACAGTGAGACTAAGAATCCAAAGATTGGTCTCCAATTTTCTCAGTAACATTACCATGGCCCAAAATACTCAGCCTCCCTCTCCTATCTCATCTCATATCTTATCTATCTTTCCTCTACCTCATTAAAAGCCAGCCCTACTGCTATCTCTAAGGTTTTAGAACAAGCCCAGTTGCTTGCTTCTTGAAAGGGCTTCATGAGGTACTCCCTCTCTCACAAATGCATGTCTTACTTGTTATCCCCCATGAGCCATCCCCCCATAAAATTACCTAGAGTTTTCTCTCTCAAACCTGAACACCTATCTGCTATCCTAGTCATCATCATCGTCTACCAGAAACTATATGGGATGTTGTGTTATTGCCTCTAATACATTAGTTACAGAAGCTTCCTCCATAATGCAGCAGTTATAAGACTTGACAGTACTTAAATCTCAACTCAACGTCTATAACATGTGATCCAAGTAATGAAAGTTTTTCTGTTTGCTCTTTTGTTTTTAAGAATTAACAGCCGGAGAGGTTAAATCAGAATGAAGCTCAGGTTCTGGCTTGGATCTCTGGGCCCCAGTACAATTTCTTCCTCTTGAGAAATACCATCTGTTCAGGTAAAAACATGAAGCTATAGCTATTTTGTTATTAAGAGGACAGCAGTGCTAGAGAATAGGCTTTTTTTTTTTTTCAGTGCAATGATCCTAACTCTTCTATTATGTATATTAATAAATTTTTATTGCTTAGACTAGTCTGGATGGGCTTTCTCTTACTGTAATTAAAAGTATCCTAATCACTGTCCCAAGCATTATATATCTCATCACACCCATTTGATTTGTGGCCACGGAGGCAAGTAAAGTTCTAGGATAACTGTCTGTCCTCGTTACCTCTACTGGTATGATAAAACATGGACCAAAGACAAGTTGGGGAGCAAAAGGGTTTATCTGGTTTACATGTCCTGATCACAGTTCATCACTGAAGAAAGCCAAGACAGAAACAAGAGGGGCAAGAACCTAGAGGCAGGAATTGAAGTGGAGACCAGGGAGGAATGCTGCTTGCTTGCTCAGCTATTTTTCTTATGCAGTCCAGACCTACCTGCCAAGGGATGGCACCACCCACAGTGGGCGGGGCCCACCTACAATTAAGAAAATGACTCACAAGCCTGGTGTGGTGGCACATGCCTTTAGTCCCAGTACTCAGGAGGGAGAAGCAGGTGGATCACTTGTGAGATAGAGGCCAGTCTGGTCTACATAATGAGTTCCAGGCCATCTGGGGCGCTAAAGGGAAACTCAAAGAGACAAAAAGACAAAAAAAAAAAGAAAGAAAATGCCTCACAGACATGACCATAGGTTAGTCTGATAGAGAAAATACCTCAGTTGAGGTTCCCTCTTCCCATGTGATTCTAATTTGTGTCAAGTTGACAGAAACGAACCAGTACATTGTCTTTCCCCTCAAGCTCTTTCTCCATTTGAACCACAAGAGACTTTTGTTGTGGTCACTGTCACTGTTGTTCTGTGCCTCCCAGCCAATCTCTCAGCAGTACTTCTATCATTCTAAAATACAAATATAATACAGCTGCTTATTTTTTTCTTTGATAAGAAACTTCAATGACTCTCATCTACCCACTGGTAAATGTTTAATCATGATTTTAAATCCCTCATCAAGCTGAACCTAAGTTTTCACTGTCCTCAAAGAAATTAGCAGTTGAAAAAGGAAGCTAAAACATTAATGCAGATAAGAACAAATACAATAACATATACTAGGTGGTAAGTGGTATCATGCTTTCAGAGAAAAAGCATCCCCTGGGGTAATCAGGGGAGGTTTGCTGCAGCGCTGGACCTTAGAAGATAGGCAAACTTTGAAAATCTCTAGATGACAGGTGGAAAGACTAAAGTACTCATCATTTTGTAACTAATTGTTAGCAAAATCCAGGGAGTGATAGTCCTTAACTCAGCTACTATTAAGTTAAAAGAATCTAAGGTGCTGGGGGACACGGCTCAGTGGATAAGAGTACTCACTACACAAGCATGAGGACCTGACTTCAAATCCTCAGCAACCACAGAAAAAGCCAAACATAGTCACACACATACCTATAACTCCAACGCTGCAGGGTAAGAGATGGGAGGATCTCTGGAACTTGCTGGCCACTAGCCTAACTCCAAATTCAGTGAGAGACTCTGTATCAAGGGAATAAGGTAGAAGGTAACAGAGCAGGACACCAGATGTCCTTTGGACACATGTGCACAGGCATACATACCAGCAAGCATGTATGTGCACACGCACACACACACACACACACACACACAAAAAAACAAAACAAAACAAAAAAAAAAAACAAAAAAACAACTAAGTAAGACTCTCCTAACAACCCAAATAGCGCCATGTGTCTTAAGGTGTGGGCGCGCGGGGATCTCGGAGCGCCAGCTGCTGGCGTGGCGCTGGTCTCTCGCACGCCGCCGGGTTGCGCGGGTTTCGCGCACCGCGTTGCCTTGTTATTTGTAAGTTAACAGGAAAAGCCTCTA